AGTCTCACTCTGTCGCCCAGACAGGAGTGCAGTGGCTGCTCCTGGCCACAGCAGCCTCGACCTGCTGGGCTCTGGTGATCCTTCCGCCTCAGCCTTCCAAGTAGCTGGAATTACAGGCGCTTGCTACCACGCCTGGCTAATTTTTTTTTTATTTATTGTAGAGATGAGGTCTCGCCTGCCCAGGCGGGTCTCGAACCCGCGGGCTCAGGCAATCCACTCACTCAGTCTCCCAAAGGCAAGGGATTACAGGCTGAGCCACCGAGCCCGGCTAGTACTTGATTTTCAAACTTTACTTAGATTTACACTTTGTGTAACTATTTGACATATTTTCTGCCATAATATTGTATTATATCTTAAAGTAATGGAATTTTATTCTAACCTTATAATTCAGGGGAATAACATGTGCAACCATTTAAATTAGTTTCTGGTGAGAAAATTTAGTCAATAACTACCAAAAGACTAATTTTTAAGCATCTGTTATACTAATACAAGAGTCCCTTAAGGGATTGAGAATCACTCTAATTAATGGCCAGAAATTTGGATATTGAATAGCCTCTTATATATAATTTTCACTATACATTTTATTAACTTTAGAACCTTAGGCAATTGGCTTACTTCACTTCCATTTCCTTACTCTCAACAATGAATTTCAGTTTTCTGATTGTTACCATCTAGGTATTTCCTACCATTAAGAAATCGTTTCTAAAATAAAATAACTTTTTTTTTTTTTTAATTGGAGTCTCACCCTGTCACCCAGACTGGAGTGCAGTGACTGCTCCTGACCACTGCAGCCTTGACCTGCTGGGCTCCGGCGATCCTTCCACCTCAGGCTTCCAAGTAGCTGGAACTACAGGCATTCGCTACCACACCTGGCTAAATTTTGATTTATTGTAGAGATGAGGTCTCGCCAAGTTGCCCAGGTGGGTCTCCAACCCGCGGGCTCAGGCGATCCACTCACCTCAGCCTCTCAGAGTGCTGGGATTACAGGCTGAGCCACCGAGCCTGGTCAAAAAGACTCTTAAAGATAGTTGGCACAGCATTTCTTACAGAATAGACATAATTTGTGTTGATTATAAGTTCATTTCAGTCTAAAATTATGATTTGTGTGCCTACTCATACACAACATTTTTATAAGATTCATTAGGAATACAGAAGTAAAAGATTTTTGCCCTTCATAGAATTCACAGTTGAAAAGAAAGGACATACATAAAACTAAGTAGTACTTCAGAGTAAGCAGAGTTGATGTATTTTAAGGCCTGTAACATAGTCTGTAGTATTGTAAACTCTCAGTAAATGTTAGTCACTGTTTGGTATTTTCTATTCTATATGTAAAGGAGGGTCAATGGAGATTTCAGTGAAAAGGCAAAAATGAAACATTAGAAATTAATCATTCCCTTTTTTAATTGGACATGGTGTACACTAAAGATTATTATTATTATTAATTTTTTTTGAGTTGGAGTCTCACTCTGTCATCCAGACTGGAGTGCAGTGGCCGCTCCCGGCCACCAGAGCCTCGACCTGCTGGGCTCCGGCGATCCTTCCGCCTCAGCCTTCCAAGTAGCCAGAATTACAGGTGCGCGCTACCACGCCCGGCTAATTTTTTGATTTATTGTAGAGATGAGGTCTCGCTTCCCAGGCAGTCTCGAACCCACAGGCTCAGGCAACCCATTCACCTTAGCCTCCCAAAGGCGCGGGATTACAGGCTGAGCCACTGAGCCCGGCTAAGATTATTTTTTTAAAAAAGGAAGCAAGACTTTACTTAGCCAACAAATTCCCATTCATCACTTTTAAAGTCTTTTGGATAAAGACACTTTGATAATAAAGGGAATAATTTGGCCACGTACAAAGGACAGGATATCAGCTATGAAATATATTGTGTGTTCGCATGTATGAATGTTTATGTATATGTGGTTTTCATACATGATTGAAATAAAAACCAAATTTGTTACACTTTGAGCTTTTCCTTGTTACAAATGTCTTAGTGTTTCAAGTTATAAGTGTACATGAGAGAGATAAGAATTGGATATGGGGAGAATTCTGACAGGATTTTAAATGATTAGGATTTAGGTCATTGATATTCATAGGTGATATGCGTACACTGTTGCCATTTTTCATTGTGATTAGTTTGGTTTCTGAAGTCAGTTTGTCTGGGTTTAAATTCTGATGGTTCCACTTATTAGTCAGGCAATCTTAAACAGGATGCTTAACCTCTGATTCATTTTCCTCATCTATAAAATTGAGTTAATGATAGTGCCTGCTTTATAGAGTTTAATTTATGGTTAATTGAGATATCATATGTAAAGTGTTTAGCATAATGTCTGGCCAGAAAAATATTAGCTAATGCTATTGCTAATTGAGTGCTCTGAGACTGTCTATATCTAGTGATAGCTACCAGGACCCAGACAGAATGTTCTGGATGTAAAATTGACCAGTTTCATAATTCTTGCAGTAACCCGCCAGCCATGTCCTAAGCAAAATAAAACTGGAGGTACGTCCCCTCATTTTAGTTACACAAACATGAATAGATGAAATTGGATAATAGAAGGTTTTTCACTAAATTTAGAAATGTGATATCTTTATATCTATCTATCTATCTATCTATCTATCTATCTATCTATCTATCTATCTATCTATCATCTAGTCAGGGCAGGAGTGCAGTGGCACAGTCACAGCTCACCCCATCCCCGACCTCCTGGACTCAGGTGATCGTTTCACCTCAGCCTCCTGAGTAGCTGTTATCAGCAGTCCCTGACCTTTTTGGCATCAGGAACCGGTTTCATGGAAGACAATTTCTCTGAGGACTGGGGTAGGGGTAGTTTTGGGATGATTCAAGCACGTTGCATTTATTGTGTACTTTATTTCTATTCTTTTTACATTGTAATATATAATGAAATAATTATACAACTTGCCATGATGTAACCAGTGGGAGCCCTGAACTTATTTTCCTGCAACTAGATGGTCCCATCTGGGGGTGATGGGAGACAGTAACTACCGGAGTATGTTGCTTATGTTCAGTCTACTCCGTAATCTCGTTTTGGTTACTGTTCACAGAGGTGGGATGTTGGAAATGTAAGCCACTTTTCAGTGCTGACCTAACGGGAGACAGCTTAGGCGGTAATGTGAGCGATGGGGAGCAGCTGTAAATACAGATGAAGCTTTGCTCACACATGGCTCACCCTCTGTTGTGTGGTCCAGTTCCTACCAGGCCATGGACTGGTATTGGTACCCGGCCCCTGGAGTTGGGGATCCCTGACGGACTACAGGCGCATGCCACCACACCTGACCAATTTTTTTATTTTTTGTAGAGATGAAGTCTCGCTATGTTGCCCAGGCTGGTTTCAAATTCCTGGGTTCAAGTGATCTTTCACCTCTACCTCCCAAAGTGCTGGGATAGCAGGCATTAGCCATTGTGCCTAGCAAAATGAGGTATCTTTGTGCCACTGAAAATGGATTAAATAGCATATTAGTCTATCACTTTCCACTCTGGCCTGTTACTTTTCCATGATAAGGTCTTTGAATTAAAGTGTATTTTAAAAGCAAAGCAAAAATCATATGAGAAAATAGAAATAAAAAGTGATACTTTAGAAGCAACTTTTTCCCCGCCTTCTTGAAAATACCATGACCTTACTAAGAAGGTGTCAGCCTTGGGATATCAATATTTGATGAGAATGCAGAGTTGTTTTTTTGTTTTTGTTTTTTTAAATTGAGTTAGAGTCTCCCTCTATTGCTCAGGCTGGAGTGCACACTCATGGCCACCACAACCTCACGCTCCTCGGCTCGGGTGATCCTTCTGCCTCAGCCTTCCAATAGTTGGAACTGCAGGTACATGCCACCATGCCTGACTAATTTTTTAATTTATTTTAGAGACGAGGTCTCACCAAGTTGCCCAGGCTGGTCTTGTAGCCCTGGGCTCAGGCAATCCCTTTGCCTCAGCCTTCCAAACAGCTGGGATTACAGGTGTGAGCCACTGCACCTGACCAGAGAATTACACTAGAATTTACACAAGAAATAATAAAGTTACAGTAAATCTAATTTAACTGATGATGAATTTAGGGAATAAGAAATATTATCTTGTTAGACTCTTAGAAGTAGAAAGTAGAATGCTGGTTACCAGATACAGGGGATGAGGAGTTAGGGGAGGAAGAGGGTGGAAAGAGAAAGGAGAAATGTTAGTCAAAGGGTACAGAGTTTTCGAACAGAGGGAACAAGTTCTAGTGAGCTGTTGTTTAGTATGGTAACTATAATTAATAATAATGTATATCTCAAAATTCTTAAAAGAGTACATTTTACATTTTTTCACCACAAAGAGAAATAAGTATTTGAAGTGATGGATATGTTAATTAACCTGATCTAATAGTTTTTCAGTGTTTATATGTATCATAATATCACATTGTATCCATGAATATATTATTATCATGTCACTTAAAAATGAATAAGTAATAATAATGTTACTTTTTTAGTATGATGTTATAAAAATATTATAAGTGGCTTATCTCTTTGTGGTAAATATTTCTAATTTGAAGAAAGGGTTTATTTAGAATTATTGCTTGAAAAATATTTCAAATTTGTTTATTTTCAGGATTGAGCCATATGTGTGACTATTATAGTAAAATCATAGATCCTTAAAATACATGTCGTTTCATAATTCAAAGAAGTAGCGTTCAATTTTAGTAATAATACCTACTACTTAATCAGGTGGTGATTGTGGGCTGGGTACTTTACTAAGTATTAAAAATACATGGTTTTATTTTATAAGTGCCACTCAAACATATGGTACTGTCAAGCTGCATTTTATTTTCAGCCATTTCAAATAATATGAAATAAGTTTTATTCCTTGTATTATAACCACTAGTATCTTCATTCCACAAATATTGTATTTAAATATTAAGTGGATAATTGACGACAAACTTTTTCTAATTTTATTAATACATATCTCAATATCACCAAAGTTTAAGAATCTAAAGTATTACATTGACTGATAATTGTTTCCTTTGTTGCAGAACTGTAAGAGTAAATGGGTCCAGTAATTGGAATGACTCCAGATAAGAGAGCTGAAACCCCAGGAGCTGAAAAGATTGCAGGATTAAGCCAGATTTACAAAATGGGAAGCTTGCCTGAAGCTGTTGATGCTGCCAGGCCAAAGGCCACTCTAGTGGACAGTGAGTCAGCAGATGATGAACTCACAAACTTGAACTGGCTTCATGAAAGTACTAATCTTCTAACAAACTTCAGCCTCGGAAGTGAGGGCCTTCCAATTGTTAGTCCATTGTATGACATAGAGGGAGATGATGTGCCATCCTTTGGACCATCTTGCTACCAGAACCCAGAAAAAAAATCAGCAACTTCAAAGCCCCCATACTCATTTAGTCTTCTGATTTATATGGCTATTGAACACTCTCCAAATAAATGTTTGCCTGTCAAAGAAATTTATACCTGGATTCTGGACCGTTTCCCATATTTTGCTACTGCGCCAACAGGTTGGAAGAATTCTGTTCGACATAATCTGTCCCTGAATAAATGTTTTCAGAAAGTGGAAAGAAGCCATGGCAAGGTCAGTGTTTTATGAACATTGCTATATTTGGTGAGGTGGGGGAATGAACTGGCATGGAGTCCTTAAATATGGGGAGATCAGGAGAGGCCCCAGAAAAGGTCATATTACTTCAGCTAAGCTTAATCATATTAGTTTATTTGCTTTCATTTGAGATTTTTCAGATTTGCTTAAATATTGTTGTAAAATTAACAGAATTATGTTATCTACGTAGGTATATAGATTAGTCTTTTTAGTGTTCTAATTTTCTATTCCTAGTTTCTGTAGTATTCATGTAACTGTATTAGTATATGATTCTTATTTATTCAGTGTGACTATTTACATTAATGTAATTGTTTTGATTGTATTTAAAATCCATCACCTTGGTGTTTGTTTTCTCTTTGTTCTGTCTATTCTTTTTACCACTCTTTCTGCCTTTTATTGGAGTTGAGTATTTTTGTGTGTGATTCAACTTTATATCTACTATTGATTTGTTTATTCCTTTGCTTTATTTTAGAGTTAGTGGCTGCTATAGTTTTCAGTAGATAACTTTATCATAATCCATCATTTCACTTATTTACTGGCTCTACATAAAAGTTGCCTGACCCCTCATGCCCTATTTGGATCAATTCCTTTTGCTTGGAGAAATGTATTTTAATACTCATGTTCAGGTCTACTGATGATTTTTTTAAAAAACCTTTTTGTGGGGAGTAGGTATAGAAGTCTAGGCTGACATTCTTTTCTTTTAGTATTTTAAAGATGATTTATTGTCTTTTGGCTTCCATAGTTTCTGATGAGAAGTCTCTTTCTCTCTCTCTCTCTCTCTCTCTCTCTCTCTCTCTCTGTCTCTCTCTCTCGACTTCTTCATATTTTGTATTTCTAATATTTATGTCATTTCTGGTAAAGTTTCCCCACTCGATCCATAAACATTAGTCATAACTATGATTATAATGTCGGTCTGGATAGCTTCTATATCTGGTCCATCTCTGTGTCTGGTTTTGTTGACTATTTTATCTCTTTTTGTGTGTGTTTCATAATTTTGGATTGAATCTCAGACATTGTTTTTTAAAAAAGGGAGCCACTGAGGTAAATAACATTTCTACCCAGAAATAGACATGCCTCTACTTATGTAGGTATTGATCAGTCTAATCGGTATTTGAGCAGTTTGAGTATTGTGGTTACTATAGTTACCTTCAGTACACCACAGTCTTCAGATTCCTACAGAAATGAACTGCCAATACTTTAGAGTGAGGCATGGAGTATCAGATGATTTTTTTTTTTAAGTTTTTATTTTTTGAGTCAGAGTCTTACTCTGTGGCCCAGGCTGGAGTGCAGCCTCAACCTGCTGGGCTCAGGCAATTCTTTGCCTCAGCCTTCCAAGTAGCCAAAACTACAGGTGCATGCTACCACACCTGGCTAATTTTTTGATGTATTGTAGAGATGAGGTCTCATCAAGTTGCTCAGGCTGGTCTTAAACCTTAAACCCCTGGGCTCAGGCAATCCTCTCGCCTCGGCCTCCCTCCCAAAGTGCTGGAATTACAGGCTTGAGCCACTGTGCCTGGCCAGATGATTTTTTTGTCAGCGTTGCTACTACACCTTCATCTTTCAGCTTGTGCCACATTTGGGGTTGGGAGAGAGGTAGGAATATCTCTGTACTCTTGCCTTATAGCAATAGATTGCTGTTGCTTGTTACTTGGAGGAAGGCTCTTGGAGAGGTTAAGATGAGACTCTCTCTTCCAGCTTTATCTTTTGTTTTGTTTTGAGCCAGGGTGTCACTGCTTTCCAGAGTGGTGTGCAGTGGCACGATCATGGCTTGCTTTAACTTCCTGGGCTCAAGTGATCCTCCTGCATCAGCTTCCCAAGTAGCTGGGATGACAGATGTGTGCCACCACACTTGCTAATTTTGTGTGTGTGTGTGTGGATACAGGGTCTCACTATATTGCCCTGGCTAGTCTTGAACTCCTGGGCTCAAGCAAATCTCCTGTCTTGGCCTCCCAAAGTGCTGGGATTAAAGGCATGAGCCACCATACTTGGTTACCTTCAGTCTTAAACAGGCTCTGTTCAATATAGAGTCTAGAGCTGTTCAGTATAGAGTCTAGTTATCCACATGTAGCTAGTGGCTGGCATATTGAACACAACTGTAGGATATTTCTCTTATCACAGACAGTCTTATTGGACAGTGCTATTCTAGAGTTGAGGCCAATTTCCTGTTAATTCCCATCATGGTAGGTAAACTGCTTGCTATTAGAGGGAGGTCTTGGGAACAAGTGAGTGACCACTCCCTTTCCCAGTGGCAGCCGACTTCTGTATCATTGGAAGATTTGGTCATGAACAGATTTCCTCCCTCTAGTGATACATGGCACATTGAAGTGTAGAGATAGCAGGATTTTATACTTCTTTCCCAGTAGCAGTTTTCCATTGCCTGGGACTGGAGTCAAGTGGCAGATGGCTTTTGCTTTGTGTCAGAGAAGAGTCCAGGGTACAGGCAGTTTGTACCTGTCCCACAACAACACCTGATCTCCACCTTGTGCTCATTCAGGGACTAGAGCGTGAATGAGCTTTGCCTTTCATCCTTGCTCCAGCCTCAAGCCCTGGCAGGTTCTGCATATCCATCTATAAGGGTGTCTGTCCTAGGCCTTCTGGCCTACAGTCTTCCTGTGGAGGACCAGATAGAGGCTCATGGAAAAATAGTAGTATTTGTGAAAATCTAATATTGCTGAAACTTGTACTGAGTAAAAGTTTATACACTTTGGGTTGAGGCATATAGAATTTGGAAAAGTACTTTATGTATGTAAGAGGAGAGATTCAACCAAATAAGATATATAATACATAAAATAAGTTAATTTATTGCAAGTTTGGTATATGTAAAGTATAGTGGGCATTCTGACTTGAAGGCATTTAAGTTTTAGTAAATAAGGCAAACAATTAGCCATACTACAAAAAGGAAACAAATATAATAATGGCAACATGAGTGAAGTGCTGCCTGAACACAGAGGAGTAGATGATTCCTTATTATTTAGCAAATTTGGAGGAATTTCATGGAGAAGTTTGCCTTTGAAGAAAAAAAACAAACCACATTTTAGAAGGACATCATAAGCCAAAAGATAATAGTATATCCTGCATGGAGCCTAGGACAGTAGATGTGTTCTCTGTGGGTGGGAAAAATGTAGGAGAGCAGAGTGATCCAGACAGAGCATGAAGGGTGGTGAATATCTTGCCAACTTGTTGGGCTTCAATTTTGAAGACAAATAAGTGAAAGTTTTTTTGTTTTTGCTTTTGTTTTTTTTGAGTTGGAATCTCACTCTGTCACCCAGACTGGAGTGCAGTGGCCGCTCCCAGCCACCGCAGCCCCGATCTGCTGGATTCCAGTGATCCTTCCACCTCAGCCTTCCAAGTAGCTGGAACCACAGGTGCAGGCTACCACGTCCGGCTAATTTTTGATTTATTGTAGAGATGAGGTCTCATCAAGTTGCCCAGGCGGGTCTCGAACCCACGGGCTCAGGCAATCCACTCACCTCAGCCTCCCAAAGTGCTTGGATTACAGGCTGAGCCACCGAGCCCAGACAGGTGAAAGTTTTTAAGCCAAGGGCATGATGGTGTTTTCCTGTATTTGACTTCTTACAGTGTGAATGATAGAGCAGTGTTATCTTAAACAATTCCAAGTTCGTTTGCCAAAGGAATGTTAGTCAGTAGTACCATGGAAACAGAGGTAGTGTCAATGAAGTGTGGGATTTGAACAGCTGGTAATCACTGCCCTCCTTGAAACTGCATCATATGATAAGTTTAGCTTTAGAAATTAATCTTTTTTTTTTTTACTTTCTCTTTTTCTTTTGCTTTGGAGTCTCACTCTGTTGCCCAGGCTGGAGTGCAGTGGCATGATTATGACTTATCACAGCCTTGGTATCCTGGGCTCAGATGATCCTTTTGTTCTAGCCTCTCAAGTAGCTGGGAATACAGATGCATGCCACTATTCCCGGCTAGATTTTTAATTTTTATTTATTTAGAGAAGAGGTCTTGCTATGTTGGCTAGGCTGGTCTCAAACTCCTGGGCTCAAGCAGTCCTCCCACCTGAGCCTCCCAAAGTGCTGGGATTACAGGCATGAGCCACCATGCCTGGCTTTTCCTTGATTTATATCACACTGTGGTTCTCTATTTACTTGCCTGGACTCTTCATCTTCTATCACTCACCATTTAAACTCTAGTATTCACTATTTTGTTTCTTTTGTTGATTCAGTATTTTTGTGGTAACCTCATTCATTCCCATAGTTTCATATGCCATCTGTATTCTGATTTTCAGATCTTTCTCCTAAAGGCCAGATCTTGCAGCTAATTATTAGCTCTAGATTAATCTCAAGTTCAGTATGTGAAGAATTGGACTTTATTCCTCTCTCTTCCAGGATTTGTCTAGGACTCTAAGCTAGAAATCTGAGATACCTTGGATACCTGCCCTTTGCAATGCCTAAATTATTGGAATGTTAAATTTGAAAAGAATTTAAATATTATTCTAATGAACTTACTTATTTTATAACCGAAAATATGAGACCCAGTTAGGTGATATTAATTGATTTTGGTCTGCAAAGCCTATCAAAGCCAGAGTTAGAATCTAGAAAAGAGTAATCGGACTCCCTGAGGCAGAAAGAGAAACAGAGACCACATTGGAACAAACTTTCCATGAGATCATTCAAGAAAACTTCCCTTATCTAATCAGTGATGCAAAAATTCAAACACAAGAGATTCAGAGAACCCCTGCAAGACAACAAATGAGAAGACCAACTCCTAGACACATAATAATTCGCCTAAATAAAGTAGGCACAAAAGAAAAAATCCTAAAGGCAGCAGGAGAAAAAGACCAGATCACCTGCCATAGAAGACCAATCAGAATAGCAGCAGATTTATCTGCAGAAACCCTGCAGGCTAGGAGATCTTGGAGCCCTATCTTCAAAGTCCTAAAAGATAAACAATTTCAACCAAGAATAACCTACCTGGCCAAGCTAAGCTTCATCAGTGAGGGAGAATTAAAATCTTTCCCAGATATCCAA